CAAAGTGGGAGTTCCAGTAATGCTACTGAGAAATCTCAATCTGTCTCAGTTGTGCAATGGGACCAGATTGCGTGTAGGGCATTATATTTACTGGCTGTGCTCGAGGTAAATCGGTGTATATACCGCGGATACCACTTATACCAACGGAGTACCCATTCGAGTTTAAAAGATTGCAATTCCCCCTTAGGTCTGTTTGTCCTAAATAAGTCTCAGGGTTAGTCACTGAAAACAACAGGAATTGATCTTAGTGGGGATGGCTTCTCGCACGGCCAGTTTTACGTGGCCTGCTCGAGAGTGAGCTCATCTAAAATCTTGGTCGTATTAGCATCTGAAGGTATTTTCAACATAGACTGAAAATATAAATAGTCTTAACCCTTAGGTATTTCCTTAGGTAGGTTTCCTGCGCGAGCGAAGCCGCGCGAAAAATCTAGTTACTTTAAAAGCGCACGTGATAACCTAAACAGGCAACATTAAAATGCAACATAAATCATAAGGTAACTATATATTTATATAAAAGTCATGGAAGTGTCCTGACAGTGTGTGATGCTACTCCCTATGCAATTAGTTAACTCAGCTGCCTTTTAAAGTAGTAAAAAAGGCTACCGCTTAGACCCTTACTACTACAGGCCTAAGAAATCACCTCTTTGTTCTCCAAAATAATGGAATTCTTTATAAACTCATGAGGTACCTGGAGGGTCACCAGCTGATTTGTGACCACCAATACGGTTTCCATCGGGTTTACTTAGCTGGTCATCTTCTAGTTTTCCTTACAGCCTATAAAAGTCCATTGCTGAACATAGTTCTATCCCACAGATTGGCTCACATGGGAAATTTTGCCATAGTTGCCACACTTAGCAGGCGAATTTACAATTTATGACTTCACGGTGAACATCTTCTAGTTTAACTGACCCATAAATAGGCGGAGGGAGTTCGGTCCTTGGCCATTAGTTTGGACATAGCGAAGACCTTCGATCGGGTTAAGCACAAAGCACTTCTTTCTAAAATAAAAAATAAATCTTAATATGTTTCTAATAATAAATTCATTTTATAATAAAGTAATATTTAAATCTAGCTTGTTAGAAATGTGGAGGGAAATTTGAAACAGAAGCATTGAATAAAACTATTTTTACGGATTCTATTGCGTTTAATTAAATCGAATTTAATTATAATATAGATCGAATCCGCAAAAGTAGTTTTATTCAATGTGTAGTGTTCGCGTAAAAATAAGAAATTATTATTGAAATAGAATCATTTTTTTACCTATAATTAATCGTATTTTCAAAATAAAATTTCACTAACCAGTGTCTCATACAATAAAACGCAAAAACTTCTGCATGAACTGTCATACTCGTACGTAACTATCATAATAAATTAGTATTTTATCTTATAATTAATGCGCTGAAGATTGCTCTTGAAAACCCTTCCAATTTTACTTCATATTTCAAGAACAGTTGAACACAAAGCGATCACTTTTACGACATTAGTATTCCATAGGATTACAGTCGGTAATCATGTTCGAGGCAATTTGCTACAGTAGGTACCTAATCAATTAGATAGTGCATTGAATTAAAATTTGCGGAACTTAGTCAATTTGCTTTCAATCTCTTGAACATAAATGTATAAGTTTATTTAGGAATAAATAAATTTCAGAAGCTGTAATGAAAATTAAATATTTAGAAAAATTAATTAATTTTTTTTATTATTCGTTATCAATACTCGCCAGTCCACTGCTAAGTACTCAATTGTGCAGCCTCGATACTATAAAATTTATATACGAGAATGATGACAGAACATGAGATAGGCAGCATCTTTTACTCTTTTGAGCTGCATCTTGCAGCTGTGCTGCAAATATGACGATGAGGCCATCTATGGGAGAGGCCTATGTAAATGAATAAGATAAAATGATGTGATGAATTTAAATTTAAGAAACAAAGAGACTGCTTTTAGTTTATCAGTATAACGTTTAAGAAATTACGTCACACGACTGAACCATAATTTCCTTTGAAGATAAAAGGAGAGATGGCTATTTTGGGCAATTCAAATTAAATTAAATTATGAGATTTTTACGAAATATCTTTTGCTCGAGACGATTGAGCCCAAAAACGGTAATTTTCAAATGTATTGCCACTAGATGAGAAGGACCGTGAATAAAGGCCGCCAAGGCTTTGTGCCATTACTTAGGGGCCTTCATTCATCAGTGGGTTGTAATGATGATAACGATAAAAAGAATGGTGACAAACGAACACACAATTCAACTTTTGGTTATTGTGGACACTGTGACCTTAAGGTACTTACATTTATATTTAACTAACTGTACCCGGTATGCTATAATATATTTTACGCTGGTATTCTACGGGAGCATGGTCTTTCTCCGGTTGAGCCGGCCAATTTGTGCTGCAACTATTTAGCTGACGCATTGCTCTACCACGTATAAAGGTAATATAGAATAATATAATCTTTGAATTAAAATCTTCGATTCATCTTTTGCATGACAATATCATGATATTAAGGACAAATAATAATATTAAGGACCAATATTATAATATTAAAGATCTACGTACAGCAAAGAGAAACAAAAGAAATCCTTATCCTTTATAACTAGTATTTTGACACGTAAATTTTGAATAAAAATATATTTTCAAACAAAAAATCTTACAGACACGATTTTACTTCTATATTACTTTATAAGCACACGTGATCACCTATACAGTAAACACCATACTATAAATATTTATATAAAAGTCATGGAAGGGTCCTGACAGTATGCGATGCCACTCTCCACTCATTGAGATTTCTCAGCTGCCTTTAAAATAAGTAATATATTAGACACCTTTGCAGGCACATACAACAACTTACCAATGTTTCATCGTTATCGAATGAATTTTATAGAAAAGCATACGGACAAACAAAATCATTACTTTTGGTGTATAGAAGATGAAAAATGATGACTGATAAAAGATTTTCTTAGCAAAAAATATCTAATACTACTCAATTCACATTGAATGTAAAATTAATATCAAGGCTGTATTGTAATTTGTAAATATAATTTTGTTATTTCTGACTGTATTCCATAACAAAAACAGTTCGTACAAACTTTTAATAAAATATTGTTACAGTTGCCTTGTGCTTAGTTGAATATTGACTGAAGTTTCAGAAACTCATAAAGAGCTTACCCAAACTTCGTCGAAAGTAAATCTATAAAAGAAACATAAATATATTACATTGAACTGTAAAAACTATTGAAAATGTAGTTGATATTTTTTATTACACTGTGAACTCTTATGGATACAGCAAGACTGTTTTAGCTACTATCTTAGAGCATTGTATTCCTATAGAGCATTGTTGGGAGGATTATTGGAATAGAGCTGTATACAACGTACAATATACAATATCAAAACAAGGGACTCACTCAGAGATCTATTTAAACAAATAATTAAACTAACATAACAACAAAATCTGGAAGACAGCCCTGAGAACATTTTTTAAATAAGTTTAATAAAATAAGTGACGTCCAAATATTTAATAAATGTTTTTTTTTTACGTGGTAGAGCCATGCTGCAGTTATGTTATGTATAGTTGTAGCACGAATGGGTCGACTCGACCGGAGAAGGACCACGCTCTCACAGAATACCAGCGTAAAATAGCAGCTTAACGTTGCTGTGTTTCGTATGGTGAGTGTAGAGAATCGGAGACCCTTTTTACTGGAAAAGAGGCATTCTATTTTAGTCCCCACGGGTGAATACGCATCTGCATTTTGATACTTTATTGAAGATAGATGTGGATGTCTATGGGTCACAGCAACCATTTACCATCAGGTGGACTGTGTGCTCGTTTATCACACTATCCTATAAAAAAAGAAAAAAACACGTAATATATCTAAACTTCATTATTCATTTTTGAGTACATGTATAACTATTCATAACAAGAGTCACTGTAAAATTACAAATTCACATTTTCATAAATACAAGGCGCATGTAAAAAGCGTTTTACTGAAAAAAGGTATACATAAATCAGAGTAATATTTATAAAATGAGAATGCTTGGATGTAATATGCCTTATTAAATTTTCTTGGCAGCGGTAGTCGCTTACCATCTGGTGAGGTGAGGTGAGCCGCATTCTCCTTCTTTTATAAAAAAAAAACCGGCAAAGTGCGAGTCGGACTCGTGCACCGAGGGTTCCGAACAAATCTGTAGGTAATAAGTTTAAAATTATTAAAAATATTTTTATTATATGATGTAACTAAAAATTTATGCATTTCGCAATTTTTTCTTTATCTGTGCTTTAAAACGTTGCTTCGTACCAAATTTCAATATTCTGAGTTCACGGGAAGTACCCTGTAGGTTTAGATTCCCTTGCGAATGTCGAAAATTTACGGCATAAACATATCTTTTGATTGCGGAGGCTTAGATGTTAGATTTTTTCACAGCTCTAAGGGACAGAAGATTTGAGTATTTGATATGAATTTCAGCTTGATACCTCCACGCGTCCCTGAGAAAAAGGGTCTTGACAGACAGACAGACAGACAGACAGACAGAAGGACAACAAAGTGATCCTATAAGGGTTCCGTTTTTTCCTTTTGAGGTATGGAACCCTAAAAATACGAAGTTGGAAGAACTTGCTTGCCGCATCTTCTCACGAGATATCCCGCAGTAGAAACTTGCTAAAGTGATGGGGTGGCTTGTTTGACAAAAAGTGATATGCAAAGGCCAGTTTTGAATAAAAATATTTTTACCTCTACTTTGACTTATTGACTTTATATAGGTACTACAAAATAATTTTTCATATAAATTTATAATATCACTGTACTAACGTTTTACAATTAAAACATGCATGAGTCAAATTTATTGACATCGAGCCTAATATAATTTTATAAGATATTTTGGCAGATTTTAATTATGTCATAACTTCGACCGAGTCTTTGGATGGAGGATGCCTCATTATAATAATAATAAAAATAATAATAAATAATTGTGGCGAGTCAGTGTGCGAATATTACGCCCATGTACCCCGTCATCATAACGCCGGATGACGTAGCTGAGGCGGTCCGTAGGGCCCCGAACTGGAAAAGTCCGGGACTCGACAGACTGCATCACTACTGGCTGAAGGGGTTCGTGGTGTGTCACGCTGTTCTCGCCCGACAGTTTCAAGAGGCTCTCGACCAAAAGTCGCTCCCGAGCCTCTTCACTACTGGGATCACTCATCTGGTTCCTAAAGACCGAGATTCCACAGACCCGAGCAAATACCGCCCCATAACGTGTCTACCTACCATATACAAGACACTCACATCCATTTTGAGCGCGAGAATCACTCGTCACCTGAACTCAAATCAGGTGATGTCGTGCGCTCAAAATGGATGTCGGGATGGTGGTCGTGGAACCAAGGAACCACTCCTCATTGACGCGGTCATTGGAAAGGTGGTTAAACGCAACCGTCGGAACCTCTTCGCCGCCTGGATAGACTACAAAAAGGCATTCAACTCGGTGCCTCATACATAGCTTAAGAGGGTCCTCGAGCTGTACAAGGTTGAATGTACGGTTCGAGACTTCCTCGGGCAGTGTATGGGGCAGTGAAGTACGATCCTTTGTCATCTAGGCCAGTGGATGACGGCTGCGGAGAACCACATAAGGTAAGAAGGGGTATCTTCCAGGGCGATTATTTGAGTCCAATCTGGTTCTGCCTCTCTCTGAACCCTCTCAGTACCTTACTGGAGGGCTTCGGGAGGGGATTTCAGCTTCGGAAAGGAGGTACAAAAGTGACCCACCTTTTCTACATGGATGATCTCAAGTTATTCGCCTCCAGTTGCTCCCATCTTATGGAATTGCTAAGCATCACGTGTGATTTTAGCAATTCTATTGGAATGGAGCTGGGGACGGATAAGTGTGCGATCCTCAATGTTGAAAGGGGAAGGGTTGCTAACTCTGAGGGCATAGACTTATCTATACCCATCAACATAAAGACCCTTTCCGAGGCTGAAACATACCGATACCTGGGTTTGTCACAGAACATCGGTGTAGATGATGCGGGTATGAAACAGTCAGTTTGCGATGTGTTTTATGCACGCTTGACCAAAGTGCTTAACAACCTTTTGTCCGGTGTGAATAAGACGCACACATATAACGGTTGGATCATGCCTGTTCTCATGTATACCTTTGGCATGCTCAGGTGGACTCAGACCGAACTGAACGCTCTGGACAGAAAAGTCCGCACTAGAATGACGTCCCACAGGATGCATCATCCGAGATCGTCAGTAATGAGGCTGTACTTGCCGCGGAAGCATGGTGGGCGCGGCTTTTTAAGCGCGCTTACCATGCATAATCGCGAAGTATGTAGCCTCCGTAATTACTTTCTGACGAGAGCGGATGATCCATACTATAGGGACGTTATTTCTTATGATAAAGGACTTACCCCTCTATCAGCCAACGAGCAATGGCAAGACCCGGCAGTACAGAGCATTTCCGACCGGGAGACCGTAGACAAGGCTCTACATGAGCCTTTCGAAGATACAGTTGCCTTCCTCCACTGGCTACATTTTGGTGACCTCTTCGGGGAAACCGAGGGTTTTGTCTGTGCGATACAGGATCAGGTTATTAAGACCAACAATTACCGGAGATACATCCTAAAGGATGGCACCGTTGACGTCTGTCGAGCTTGTCGCCATCCCGGTGAGTCACTTAGACATGTCATCTCCGGTTGTTCGGCGCTTTCTAACTCTGAGTATTTGCACAGGCACAACTTAGTAGCCAGGATTCTACACCAGGAGCTTGCTCTGAAATACGGTCTAGTGGATCGGAAACTCTACTGGGACCGGGCCATCATCACAGACAGGACTATTCTTGCGAATAAGCCTGATATTGTGATGATGGACCGGGCAGAGTCAAAGATATTTTTGGTCGACATTACCATTCCTTATGACGAGAACCTCGTGAAAGCCGAAACAGATAAGCTGACTAAATATCTGGACCTGGCTCACGAGGTGACCAACATGTGGGGTGGATTGCCGGTCGAAATTATACCTGCAGTCGTCTCTGCGAATGGGTTAATTCCAGTCAGCCTCTCGGGTCATCTGAGACGACTGGGACTCCGTGACGGACCGCTCCAAGCTCAAATGCAGAAGGCGGTGCTCCTCGATACCGCCCGCATCGTCCGCCGGTTTCTTATCCTTTCCCCCTAACCCTCGGCCGTCTAGTCTCCTCTGCCGAGGGTTTCCATCTGGTTGGGTTTTTATATATTTATGTATTTATTTTATTTTGTTGATATTTATGTATGTTTACCATGTTTATTTACAATTATATATTTATTTTGCCCAACCAGATGAGAAAACTTTATAGATACCCCATAATAATAATAATATTTAATGATCTTTTCTATTTACGCGAACACTACACATTGAATAAAACTATTTTTACGGATTTTATCGCGTTTAATTAACTTATTTTATATTCCCGACGGTACTTTTTTTATAGGATAGGGTGACAAACGGGCACACAGTCCACCTGATGGTAAGTGGTTGCTGTGGCCCATAGACATCTACATTTATCTTCGTTTGCGAATCAAAATGCAGATGCGTTGTCACCCGTGAGGACTAAGATGGAATGCCTCTTTTCTAGTAAAAAGGGTCTCCAGTTCTCTACACTCACCATATGAAACACAGCAGTGTTAAGTTGCTATTTGACGCTGGTATTCTGTGAGAGCGTGGTCCTTCCCCGGTCGAGCCGACCCATTCGTGCTACAACTACACTACAAATGCAGCATGGCTCTACCATGTTTAAAACGACTACGGTACTCCGGTTTAACTCTGACATCGGGACGTCAATCACCTCAGTCCCCCGTGACCACGGTTGCTGGAAAGCAACCGAAACGTCGGGAATATAAAATAAGTTAATTAAACGCGATAAAATCCGTAAAAATTGTTTTATTCAAAATAATAATATTTATTTATATCTCCCACTTTTTACACAGTTTCATTTCTTACATAAATAGTTTAAGAGTTTTAAGTTGTTGTAGGAGACAGGAGCCCAAACTAGGTAACCCTGTGCTATGGGTCTGAGACATGAAGTGAGCGTTGCCTGTGAGGATCGAATATAAGATTTTTTAGGTGTAAATAACAATAAAAGGCATATTGAATATATATAGCATGCAATATTTTTAAAATTGAAGTATATAATCAAATTGTTATATAAAAGCATATACGTATACATATATAATATAAATATACATGAATGTGTGTGTGTGTTTGTGTGTGTGTGTTGTGTGTGTGTGTGTGTGTGTGTGTGTGTGTGTGTGTGTGTGTGTGTGTGTGTGTGTGTGTGTGTGTGTGTGTGTGTGTGTGTGTGTGTGTGTGTGTGTGTGTGTGTGCGTGTGTGTAGCTCTTAACTTGATGGAAATATCTATAAAGGTAAGGACGTATAAGCACGATTTAAGCTAAGTTTTATACCCTATACAGTTGACAGAAAGCAACAAATATTCAGAACTAGTCAGCAATCATAGCAGGTTGTACAAATAGCGTATAATATGTAAATAAATTACAAGCAAATACTCTATTAATATAAATAGGTTTTATTTTAGTAATGCGAAAAATAATGAAGGAATATTTTTTAGTACAGGTGTAGGAATATTCGGCTGAAATAACGAAAAACGTGCAGGGCCTCTAAATTATTCCACACCATACTGAACCTAGTTTTATAAAAAATACAGATTCAGTACAAAAACGTTCAAATGTCACTCAAAGTAATAAAATATTATGTTAAAAATAGTATTTTCCTAAAAAGGATAGGTTGTCTGCCTAAGGGAAACGATAAACAAGTATGTTGGTAGTTTTTAAGTTTAGTTTAAAGTTTGTTCCGGAGAAAATTAGCTCCATGCTTTTCACTTGTTTCCTCATCAACTATTAAAAAGATAAGATTCAACGCGAAGAAGATCTAACCCCCATTCGTTACTTAAATTGAAATGTTCGTTACTTATAAGTTAGATTAAGAATGTTAGTAATAGGGTCAAAGGTGCTAGGGCAAAACGAAAATAATGAAAAGAATACCTTCAATGCATACATTCAATTAATTATTTAACTTTTACTGTTTATCTTTTACAAATTCGCTTAAAGTGATTAGAATTACCCTACTATAATCCCTCACTTATGGTAGTTTTCGGTACTCTATTAGAATGCACCAAAGACGTAATAGAATAAATTATACTTAAATGTTATAATTTTAGTTCATAGGTAAAAAAAAATATATTGAGAGCTTTTACAAATACCATAATTATTAAATAAGAAATATTTTTTGTGATACATATTTATACGTGGTAGAGCCAAGCTGCAGCTATATTATAGTTGTAATACGGGTCGGCTCGACCGGGGAAAAACACGCTCTCACAGAATACCAGCTTAAAATAGCAGCTTGATGCTGCTATTTTTTGTATGGTAAAACATTTAAGGACAAGCACGACCTTCAGTAATGAAGCACACGAATAAGAAGAAGAGTATAGTGAACCGGAGATCCTTCTTACTGGAAACAAGGAATTCCATCTTAGTCCTCAAGGGGTTACAACGCATCCACATTTTGATTCTTAATCAAGGATAAAAATGCAGATGTCTATGAGCTACAGCATCCACTTACCATCGCGAGCGCTAAGCCGCTGAGCCACCGCGAAATAACACACAAAAGTATTAATCGTTACTATTCCAAACAAAAATAAAATAAAGTCATTGAACTAATAATATGTGTTACGTACTAGAAGAGATGACGAGACTTGGTTGCTTGCAACAGGCGTTAAAGCCCATGGGCTCATATATTTTTAGTCTGCCATAAAAAGATACTCTATGTCTCTACACGGGCCCCACACTGTCTCATGATTATATTTGCAGGTCTCTTCTAGTATGTATTTAATCTAATATAATTTCAATGCGTAAAGTAACGATACAACTTATATAAACGAACTAAATTTGGGCAAAGACCTCCTCTCATTAGTCTCTGCCATAGAAAGGTACTCCGTGTCTCTTTACACGTGTTCCACACTGTTAGACTGATTTTATTTGCGTTGTCTATTCTAGTATGAAGTACATATTACCTCAATGAGTAAAGTAACAACGTAGCTCATAAATACGGTCCCAATTTGGGCACAGGTCTTGTTTCATTTCTCAGAGGTTTCCGTATATGGAAATGTGTGAAAAATAATTTTATTCAACGTGTAATATTAGTGTAAATAAATATAAGAAATCATTGACTTTGTGTTCCTCTGAGTTGCATCTTCGCAATCTATCTCTGGTAGCTCTTGAACTTTGACACTTAACTTGAAAGAGGTAGTAAACTCCTTATATTAACTAATTTGGATGGCTAACGCACTAGTTCAGAAGTTCAAATCACAAATAGTTCGCATAGAGAAACTGTATACTTGCACCATCAATTTCCGTAATTAAACATTTGATTCAGACTGTAAAAGGTTTTAACTTTCAAACTGTAACTAACAAGTGTCTAATACTAAGAAATCAATATAAATTTAA